CGTATCAAGGGCCAGCCTGATGCCTTGATGTACTGGAAGTGCTGATAGATGATTCAGTGCACCAGGTGGTTGCATCTAAAATAAATGAGTGTGAAAAGCAGTAATAATTTGGGCTATGCAAGTCATATACATACTTAGAGAAAAAAAAAACGTAGCTTCATTGTGTCTATGATAGCAGGTTGTTGGCATGTTTTGTTTTGTTTTGTTTTTGTTGTTTCATTTTGTTTTTTAGTTTTCTAAATACATTATTTCTGTTTAAGATATTTTCTATACTAGCAGACAATAAAATGTCTTGAAATAGACACTAGAGATAAAATAATTCTTTATGGTGATATTAAGAACAGATAAGAACATTCTGGATTCAAGTATTGTGTTTCCTGCATATTTTCATTTGTCCTTGCTTTGATGACTTTCCATGTCAGTATGAACAAAATATTTAACTGCATTTTCATAAGCTATATAAAAAGTCACCTTTTACACATCATTTAAGCATTACTTCTGTACTAGAAAAACAGGAAATTAAGTTGAGCATTAATACTTTCTTAAGCCCTGCCTCTATACTGTGATATTTTAATTGTATTATATGACAAATCATTTCTGCAATAATCAAACAGAATGTAAAGTGTAATTATCAACTAGAGAAGAAAAAATGAAGTTGACCATTACTGACAATAAAGGAAGCATAGCCTAATACACACAGAATAAAATTGGTAGTCAGAAAACTTGTTAGCTGCCTCCCTGTAAGAAAACCTTTTTACTTGGTATTTCAGTTGTCTGTTAAATAAAAATATTGGGTGACTTCTTCCTGGACCTTTAAATGAACCAGTGTTGTGCTGTCTGTGCTTTGGAGCATGTTCTATGGGTACAAGTATGAGGGGAATCCTAGGTTTTGGTCTTGCCTCCCATCACAGGTTGAAGCCGTTATAGGCTTTTATGGTAGGTGGCTGCACAAAGGCACAGAAACTTTTTGCAGAATTGCTGTGGTAGAACCCTAATCTGTCAGTCTGTTGAAGGGCATTAAAGGGCCTCAGGCAAATCTAGAAACAAATGGGGCTAATTCTACCCTTCCTCAACTGCTGACATTTTGGGTAGCTCCGTCCTGACCTTAAGTTGTCTTTGGGGGTATCGTGTTGGGAGGTGTGTTCCATAGACAATAAGTAGGTCTTGAGCTTAGTGGTGCTCAGTGCAGTATTACTGCTTAGAGTTTATGCTGTTCTTCTTGCCTCTAATTATTCATGAATATATGACTCTGGCGTCACTTAACTTTCAGTATTATTTTGTATGAAAATAAGTTTTTGTTTGTTTGTTTTTTGGAATAAAGTATTAGTTCTCATTTAATTCACTAGTAATGATGACTAATGTAATTTGTTGGTTACTTCATGCTGGGGTTTTTGGGCTATGAAAATGGGAGTCTGGCATTTAATTTGAATAATTACTGGTATTTAAGTCTTCCTCTTAGCAACAAGTGGGAATACAAAATAAATGAGGACTTTTTTTCCAACAGACTTTAAAAGCTGAGGAAGAGAATTTGGCTTTGGTTCAAGTATTTGCAACCAACCTTTACATAATTTAGCTCGTCACTTCAGTTTTATTGGAGGCACTTGAGAAATGTCCCTTGACATTCTATGGGCAATTTACTATCTTGAAAAAAAAAAAAAGAAAAAAGTAATTGATGTAGTGTAAAGTTTGTCCAGCATTTGGAGATGTCTCTTTTTTTTTTTTTTTTTTTTTTAAAGTATTTTAGCAAAGACTGTTACTGCCTTGCTTGAACAAGTCATTAGAATTTGAGCTGCTGTTTCTGCAACTCCTCAACATTTTAAGAGGAGCACAAATAAAAAGGCAAAGAAATGAGAAACTCTGGATATATCTGGTTGAAAGTGTTTATAAAAGCCTTTGGATTTAGCTATAAAAATCAAATGAAATTGTGCAGTGTATGTGGAGTAGAAGGGAAGCATTTTCAAAACAAACGATTAATATCTAATCCTCACATTGAACCTCCTACATGAAGAGGAGACAGTGACAGGTAATGCAAGCAGTACAAATAGCAAAAGGTCATCTAATTTATTTGAATGTGTATAGGTAACTTAGGAGCCGTGAAGGCTTTTTCCTTTTCTCTACCCTCCCCAAATGTAGTGCAGCAGCCACATTAATGTTATGTTTCTACCAAATTACGATGAATCATGAAAAAGCAAATATTTTCTGGTTTGACTTTTCAAAGATATGTCAGTATTTTCCATTTGTAGAACAAAAGCAAACTCCAAGAATTGAAAACACCTTGAAATTATGATGGAAGAGAAAAACAAGCCTGAGAACTTAGGCTATAAAAGTACTATTAGTATGTTATATTAATATAGCTATATTAATATAATAGCTACTGTTCCATAGACACAAGGATTAGAATGGTTATAGTTTCTTTTGCCTTTTTGGCTGATAAAAGAGTGTTAATAATGATGAGTGTATGTGTTTTGTTTTTGTTTTGTTTTGTTTTTTTCCTCCCCCTTTTCCTGTTTTCTTCTAGTACATGATTTCAGTATTGCTGTGTTATCATCTTTGACAGGAAATGAGGGCATCCAGCTTCTATGGTGGTTGTCCAGGATTTCAGGTGGAGACCTGATCCAAGGTCATACTTCCTTGTTTTGTTGCAATTTCTCATACAGGAAGGAAACAATACAGAGCTACACAAAAAGCATTTTACCTGGGTGTGAATTTTTAGCTAACACTAATACGTGCTTCAAATAACTTATACTGTGAGTTCATCAGCTAGATGTATTGGAATCAGTGCATTCTGAATAGATAACAGGTAGTTAGAATGGAATCTGATGCTACTTTTCTGTCTCTGATTTCTAAAGCTTACCTTAATCCTTAAAAATTGTTAATGATTAGCAACATACACACTTTAGTGGGGGTAAGACCTTCCATGAAATTTCTTACACATGGAGAGGCCTGACCCAATGCAGTAGGAAGACAATGTGCATTTGACTATGCGCAAAGGGCTCTAGATCTGTCCCATTATAAGGGGCATAAAATATGAACCTCTGTTTAGGCTGCCTATGTTTATGATGGGTAATATTTGCTTGATGCCATGGCCATATTTAAGACAACATCAATGTGCAGGAAAGACAGAAGAAGAGTCTTAGAAGCTGGCAAAATTATTCTTCAGGAAGAAGCCATCGTGTGTAATTATTATTATATATGTATTTTTTAATTTCCCTTCTTTCCTTTGTTAAAAATAATAATAATCTGTGAACCATTGGAGAGAAGGCAAAATACTTCAGAGATATGGAGTTTTACTCAAGTTAGTAGGGTGCATTTACATTTTCATTTTTCATCAAATTCTGCTGGGGATCTTAGTCTTCAAATTCTAAAGAAATACGCTTGGACATATTTTGCTTTACAACAGTTATTACAGGTAACTTTATAAAAACTTGTATGTGGTTTGGCTCACAAATGCTGTGATAATCTGCTTTTTTTTTTTTTTTTTTTTTTTTTTTTTTTTCCCCCCCAAGAAAAGGTTGTTACTTCTTACTCTTGGAAGCTTCTCTGAGCAACATTTTCTGGTGCCTCACCATCCTCTGAATAAGGAATTTCTTCTTAATTCCTAATCTTAATCTTTTAGTTTAGAGCCTCTCTTTTAGTTTAAAGCCTTTACCCCTTGTCCTATTACAACATGCCTTTGTAAGGAGTCCCTCTTCAGTTTTCTTGTAGGCCTCCTTTAGGTACTGGGGATGTTTTCAATCCATTATCTACACAGCTTGTATGTGTGCTTGGGATTGCCCTAATAAAGGCAAGACCTTGCACTTGGCCTTGTTGAACCTCATGACGTTTGCACGGGCCCAACTCTCAAGCTTGTCCAGGTGCCTCTGGATGACATCCCTTCCCTTTAGTGTGCTGACCATGCCACTCTGCTTGGTGTCATCAGCAAACTTGCTGATGGTGCATTCAATCTCACTGCCCATGTCGCTGACAAAGATTTTAAATGGTGCAATATTGACCACTAGGGAACACCATTTATCACCAGTTGCCACCTGGACATTGAGCTATTTACTGCAACTCTTTGTATGCAACCATCCAGCCACTTCTTTACCAAGTTGTTCATCTGTTCAATCCACATTTCGCTGGTTTAGAGACAAGGATGTCACATGGGACAGTGTCAAATGCTTTGCACAAATCTGGATAGATGATGCCAGTTGCTCTTCTCTTTACAGTTACACTGTAACCACATTGCAGAAGGCCACCAAATTTGTCAGGTACAATTTGCCCTTACTGAAACAATATTGGCTATTGCTAATCACCTCCTTATTCCATGTGCTTTAGCATAGTTTCCAGGAGGGTCTGCTCCATGGTCTTGCTGGGCACAGAAGTGAGACTGACTGGCCTGTACCTCCTCAGGTCTTCCCTTTAAAAATGGGGGTTATGTTTCCCCTTTTTTTCAGTCAGTGGGAACTTCACAAGACTGACGTGACTTCTCAGATACGATGGATAGCGGCTTAGCAACTTCATCTGCCAGTTCTCAGGACCCTCAGATGTGTCTCATCAGGTTCCATGGAATTCTGCACGTTAGGTTCCTTAGATGGTTTCAAAGATGTTCTTTTCCTACAGTGGGTGGTTCTTCTGTCTCCCAGTCCCTTCCTTTGCCTTTTGCAACTTGGGCTGTGTGGCTAGAGCATTTGTGAAGACTAAGGCAAAAAAAAGCCATTGAGTAGCTCAGCCTTCTACATATCCTAGGAAACAAGATCTTCCATTTCCTTCTCGAGAAGGCCCACTTTTTTCCTAGTGTTCCTTTTATCACTGACATACTTACAGAAGCCTTTCTTGTTGACTTTGGCATTTCTGGACAGTTTTAATTCTATTTTGATGGCTTTAGCTTTCCTAACCTGATCCCTGGCTGTTTGAAAAATTTCTCTGTATTTCTCCCAAGCGACCCTTCTTTTCTGTGTTTGACTTTGTCCAGGATCTCCTTATTCATCAGTGCAGGCTTCATGGCATTTTTTTTTTTTTAGGATGCATTGCTCTTGAGCTTGGATGAGGTGATCCATGAATATTAACTACCTGTCTTCTTCCAGCAAGGTAGGAGTTACCACTGTGGAGCTGCTGGGATGCACAGGTTTTGAAGCTCTGGGGCCCAGGCCATATTCTCTTTCAGAATATGGTGTAGATTCATGATTAAGCAGGAGATAAAGTGTCAGCCCAGAATACTCAGTTTCTTGTGTGCTTCATCCCCTGTAACACAAAAGATGTATTAATCCCAAGTACTACTCACATATCAAAACATTCTTCTATGGTTCACTTGCCCAGTATTTTATTCTGTCTTCAGAGGGGAAAATCCATTACTCATTTTAAGTAGTGACACATACTCAAAATAATACGGATGTAGTTTCTGATTTTCAAGATGAACAAAAATATACATTCTGTCCAATTCACCAAACAATTACTATCTCGTTGAAATTATGTTACTTTCCCTGCCCCCCCATAAGTTCTGACAGTGACAGTGAAAATAATGGAATAGTTTGTAAAGAAAAATGCTATTGAAGTGGTTTGTATTTCCTATCCAGTAAATACAGATGCCTTCCAACACAATATGAGAAGGAATTCTTCTGAGAAAAAAAAAAAAAAAAAAAAAAAGGCAGGAAAAAAGGAAAATCCCAACATTGCAGAGGTTCTGGAAATGGATAAAATATACTATTTTGTAACAGTTGAGTTACATGAAAATTTTATTTAATGGGATGTAAGTAATTAAGACATTAGAATTTTAGAATAATGTCATACCTTTAAGTTAGTTATAAGTAGTAACATACTGATGTATGTACTACATACCATGAGACGTATGAGAGGCTTAGCTTTTATCAGGCAGCTCCAGTTACATTAAATGACTGGAAGGCATTAAGAAGAAGGACCATGTTGTTGTAGGAACCACTCTTGATGCTTTCTGCAAAGCTTTAGATTGTGGATTAGTCTTAAAACTGAAAGGATTCCTTGGGAATTATGTCATTATGAAATAATGTTATCTAGAACACATCTGTTATTCTGTATTTTGCACTGGTATACTGCTGCAAATGTAACAGCAAGGTCATGACATTCAGGCATGGGACTTCAGCAAAACTCGTTATCAGGCTGTTAATTCAGGAGATGTCTACATGATCTAAATGTTAGTTTTACTTGTTAATATTTGGACATCAGCATAGCCTTAAAGGGCTTAAAAGACAGTGACAGAGGGCTATTGGCACAAGAGAGTGTTTGAGACACTGCTAAAACACTGAGAGGCTGAGAAAATTGCTTCAGACATTTTGTATCAAAACCTCTGGAAGTTTGAAGACTATTACTTACTGTCTCTAGATAAAAATATGGAAAGCCATACATAAATCTTATGCTTGCTGGGCCAAGTAGACCTACCTCATGCCTTGAGATAAGAAACAGAAATTTAACCTGAAAGGAAGACAGTGCCTTTTAAGTACACCAGCACCCTAGTACACAACCCATATGCTTTGGCTACTTCTCAAAAAAAAGGGCATGAGATGTTTATTCCGGCCGGCTTCCCGTTAGTTCTGCTAGGAAACCTATACAGTGTTGGCTTTAATGACATAGTCAGTCAGAGTTAAGGAAGACAAACAATTTTACCTGAGAATTAGTTCCAGTCTGTGGCAAAAACAAAGAAGCCTAAGTGCATCTTTAGATCCCTTAGTTAGGCTTGATTTAGGAGCCTTTTGTTGTTACAGACTTCCAGTAACAGGAGGAGGGGGACTTAGGAATAAATCAGGCTTTTCAGGCTCAGATTGTTGCAGTTAACGGTGCTGTGGCTTTTTGTGCTTTAATCACATCATATTATGGTTTTTCATCAGGCTCCAGCTTCTGTATTCAGGGGTATAAGAATCACTACTGTCATCTGAAAAAAATCCTTGCTTCTCTTGGTTGTAGGTAAAGCATAAAGCATATGAAAAAGTTGAAAGAAGAGTAAAAAGCATGTGATTCTATTATTATTTTTTAATGTAATAAAGATGTATGGTTAGAAAGTTTGTTCTGTTAATAAGTTTTTAATAAGAAGTAGGTCTTATATATTTTGGCATACATAATGAGTTGTTTTTTTTTTTTTTTAGGGGAAATGCCAGCTGTTGAAGAACTGGATTCTGGGGTGAAGTTAGATTGGTGTAATACTGTCTGTAATTTCTTGGCAGGTGAGAATGACTTTGTTGTGGTTATTCAATGCTGAAAGTGTTCTAACATTAATGCATATTGTAAATGCTTGCTTTGGGATTGATTAGTAGCAAACAGAAAAGAATAATACACAGAGCTGTTCTCGTCTTGCACCAGTGCACAGTTACTTCCATGAGCATACAGAACAACTGAAAGAAAGGCATGTGACCTGTCTAGCAGGAACGATTAGTCAAAGATGTGTTTTCTTGTAAGAAAAAAAGTTTACTTTTTAGTAAACTGTTTCATCTGAGAAGTGTTGAGAACAGAAGGAATAAAAGAATAATCTGTGATAAACTAGAAATAAAACTTGGGGGTACAGAAAAAGTAGAAGAAAAAAAAAAAACAAACAGATTTTAGGGATAGATCTGTTGCATCTGGAAAACCTTGTTTTGCTTCTGTAGAGATATAGAAGAATGCAAATTCTTCTATAGAAATGTAGCAGCTTCTGACTTCACTGGATTCACCACTGTTATCATTTAGGCATTTTGGTCTGTGGAAGAAATTTGGGAGTGACAATGCTTTGGCATGTGGCAGAGCCTGCCAACAGCTCCCAGGGAGCCAGGTGAGGAAGCTAATAAAGAGTTCCTTTTTCAAATTTATAATGAAAAAGGTAAAGGAACATAATTCCAATACTGCTCTCCAGTTTTGTTTGAAATGAATGTGGAGTTACTGTTGCAAACATTTCAAAAGTGTTTTCAAAGCAAACAAATGTAATACATAGAAAGCAAGCACAATGCCTAGACGTGAAATGAAAGCAGAAGCTGATGAGTACAAATCGAAGGGAGTCATGCTGAGATTACAGACTGTGCCAGCCGTTGCCCATTTGGAGGACTATGTTCACATCTGGTTACAGTGCTGCAAAAAAATAAAAGGTAAAAAGGATTATAGCACTTACAGCTATAGCAGTACAGAGAAGGTCAGCATCCTGATCCTGTATTAAAGAAAAGAGGTTATGATGACAGGAGAATTTTATCCTCTGCCCAATTTAAGGAGAAGAAGCTTTAGGATCTATAAATTGTCTTGTTTACCAAATACAATTAGGCATAACTCTGCAGGCATAATTCTTCCTAACCTAAGCTATTATTAGATGTGGCAAGAAATAAGAGGGCGGTAAGTTAGTGAAAGAGAGGCATTCCTGCACATAGAAGTACACATCCGTCCTGCTTTTCTTCCCTTGCTTCCTCTGTGATTGAAAGAAGTAAGTCTGTAAACATTTTGGGGTGATGGGAGGTGAGGAAAGAAATTGAAAAAGAAAACAAGCGTTTTTGTGCTCTGAAGAAAACAGCACTAAATGACTCAAAATGAGCCAACATCAATGGACCAAATAAACTCATCTCCCCTTCAGTGTAGTATATGGTTTGTGTTTAGCTAAAAGCACCACAGTTAAGTCAGTGAAGAAAAGAAAAAGAAACCACTTTGGGAATGCTTTGATTCTTGATGTACTTGTTGAAGTAATTGCGCCCATCTCCTGGATGTTTGTTTCCCTCCTGTCCCCACCAGCCCAGTAATGCAAACAGCTTCAACCCAGGTCAATAGAGGAGTAGAGGTCTCAGAGTTGGACTCACGTCTAACTCCAGATGGAGGACTACTAGCAGCTGATAGAAAAGTTGCATATTGAGCCCGAGCCTTGTGTGACACCAGAGGATGTGCATGAAGTTAGAGCTGTTAAGAATGTACCATATAGCAGGAAAGAGTTTCAGTTGGTGTCTGGACATTAATAGATACCAGAAAATTCTCCTGTAGGACCTATTTAGACAACAGAAGGATGAGTAGAAAGGCTAGAAACCCTGCATTTCTCTTGAAAACTCAAACTGATTTTGTAGTTAATATTAGAACTTTTGGGACTTAGTGGATATCTTATTCTTATTCTTCAAGTATTATGTATTTTGCTACACTATACAAAGGAAAAAAATAGAAGGACTACTTTCTTCAGCTGGCCTGGCTGTAACCCAAGTGGTTGAGCTAAGGTTTAAGCATGTTTGCAACATTTCTGTGTAGTTACCTAGTTACCTGAAAAGAAACACTGAAACACTGACATTACATTTTTTTTAACCTCATGAAAATTGGAGAATGGTATCTGCTTGTGGAGCTTTACAATACTTTTTTTTTTTTTTTTTTTTTTTTTTTTTTTTTTTTTTTTTTTTTTTTTTTTTTAAGGAAGAATAGGTCTCTGAATCTCTGAGTTTCAGATGCCAAAATGCAGTTCATTGCACTTTGGCTGAACAAATTGCTGTACTAATCCCTCTTCTAATGTGAGCTGAAGTACTTTAACTTGGTTCCCAATCATATTAAAAGCAATTTGAACATCCTTGTTGGAACAAAAACTTCAACAGCACACAAAAGGTCTGACATTAAGAAGAACCTATCAGAAAAGATGCCCTGTTAAATACAGTGTCATGCAATTATGTGGTGCCAAATATATTTTCTAGTGGCTCGATATTTCAGAGGGTTCTGAGACATAGCATTGCTGGAGTTATTTAAAGCAAGTGAGACTGTTTTCTTGCAGTAAACAAGAGTCTCTTTTGACAGCAGTGGTTAACAAGTAATTTGGTTTGATTTTAATCCACAAATTATTTCAAATTATTTATAGTTCTCTGTACTATAAGCAAGAACGGTAGTAGTGGTAGCTGTCCCCTTAAAATTTAAGTGGAACTCAACCTTCTGTCACAGACTGTCTCTCAACTGTAAGATGAATAAACACTCTTTTAAATATGTCTCTGTGCTATTTGCACATTTGTGATATGAGAAATTTGGAAATATTTGTATTGTGTAATAAAACCTAATGGAGCTCTTATGGCCTTGGGTAGGAAGCAGTAGTCCATCAGATTTTCCTAACACTGAAGCAGTGCAAAGTGCATTATGCATGGTGTGTCTTACAGAATTAAAATCATTACTGATTGGCAGAAAACTTTTTTTGTGGACTACACAAACCAGTGATTATATTTCAGCTCTTAAGTGGAAAAATGTTTACAGTGATCCTCTTAAATGTGGTGTGGCATTCAGATGCTTTGGAAAGATAAGTAACGTAAGTAAGATAAGAGCAGATACCTTCCTTATGTCATGGTGTGGCTAAAATCTGTACAGCTTTCTTTCCTCATTATAAAATTTTAGTAGAGGTCATAGTGTGTCAAGGGACCAGTGGTGGGACAAACAGCCTTTCACTTTTTACCTCTAGAATTCAAATCCAGCCAAATCATTAGTAGCTGCAAGTTGTTACCACCCGGTGGCTAAGCGCTCTATGTAAAATTAATTTGGTAGTCTCAGCCCAGTTCTGAGTAAACACATTTCCACTTTACAAATATGATGAAACCTGGCACTAATTGGCACCCTTGCTAGCAGCCTCATCAGAGATGCCAAAATAACTGAAATGTTTCTTTGCTTCTAGTCGTGATCTCTCCAGGTCAGCAGTGAAATACAGTGATGGGACAGTATGGAGGAGATGGCACAGCTGTTGCCCTTGCTGTTTTGTGGACTAAGTCTGCAAAGTTGTCAGTCTGGTGCATTTCTCATGCCAGACTATGTAGAGTTATTAGAATTTTTCCACCACTGTTGGTGCACTTTCAGCAGTCTGCTGGCAGTCAACTTAGAGATCTTTTTTTTGCCATCTGTGTGGTTGATGCAGTGATAGCATAATAGCTAAGTGGTTCAAATGTGGGTTTGTATGGTATATTTAGGAACTCGGAATTACAGCCAGTGTAGGCAGAGCAAATTGCTGACAGGTAGCTATTAATCACTTTTAGCCATTCTTTGTGCTGCCAGCTGCTTTGTAAATGAGGATTGGCATGCAGTAGATGAATACCTCCTCATTGTCCAAAAGGAAAGGAGTTTATATTTTGTTTTCAGTGTTAGTATCCACGTAGATGTCAGCAACTGCAAATGGAGATCACAGATTTTAATGTGAGACAGTGTTTTAATGTATGTAGTGCCTGGAGGGATACAGGTTTGTGGGGAAATAGTTATAAAGAGGAAGGAGGAAAAATCTTTCATGATGTCTCTTTTTGGAAAGGAACTTTATTTCTTTGATAATTTACTTTATTCAATTGAACAAGAAAGTTCCTCAAGTGCAGTTGCTGACATAATCTCCGTAAAAGATGGAGGACTTGACTCCATTCATAAAGTAAGGGTGCCAGTGTTGCTTAGGGAATCCCCACTTGCTGTCAGTGGGACATTGCAATAATTCATCTATTATTCCTGTTATAAGAATTCGTGAGAAGTTTTGCTGAATTCTCAACATCAAGATTGCTCTAAAAAGTGGTATTGGGGCCTCAAAAAGACTTAGCTTCCTCTGGAAACTTCCCACCTTCCTTCAGAGTGACTGCCACTCTGCCAGTGCTTTTATGTGAGGCTAATGCAACGGTCTCTCCAGGAAAGGTATGTAAAATGAAGATCCTGGCTACTTTTGATAATTTAGGATTCCGTTTCTCCAGCTGTGAGGTTCTCAACTCAGGCATGCATAAAGCATCAGGTAAAACTGGAAATTTTCGCCTCAGGTTTGAATGGCATGTGTTTAGGTTGAAAGTGTACATAGTACAGGTATGAGAATAAAAATGGAATTACTGCTTTTGCTTTTCCCTACACTGAAATGGGATTTTTAGGCCTTCTTTTGCATGGAATTGATGGTAGTATTTTCCTTACTAAAGCCATTTAGTTGTACAGTTTTGCTTCTTGGAAACATAATATTGAAAATATGTTCAAGTTCTCCTTCCAGAAACTTTGGAATTTGTGACAAAATTATGCCCTTTTACTGCTTTTCCATTATATTTCCCACAGGCTAAATATACTGTCTTATTCATTAAAAATCTCTTAAGTTCTAGCATGAAGATAGAAACCCTTGTACATACTCAAATAACTATCTACATATGGATATATAGCATATTTGTTCAGAAAGGAAAGAAGAACGTAGTACATCCTTTGTAATTGGTCTTGAGATAGAGATTTGCATGCTTGTCCTTGTAAATCACTGTACTGTAGTTCTATGGCT